GGGGGGGGGGGCTTTTCAGGCCCGAGCCAACTTTAATATCAGATAACTTCTAAATGACTCACGCTAAAAGCACCAAACTTAGTGAAGTTTTCAACCATATTCTTGTTAACAATTTAATAGAAACAATAGTAGAAGGTTTGACATGATGTATGTAAGAGAACAAAAGTAGAATGAGATCATTCCTACTTTCATCTGACTCACGTACAGCTACGAATTAAAGTATGGGCTGCCATTTTCCGAAAAATTCTGTCCCGTCCGTACTCCCTCTTGATTTCTACTCTACGTAAATACTATAAACTTCTAATTGTGATGGCTTATAAGTCTCTATTGGCATATACCAAACCACCATATAAACCATTTCTGTGATAAAGACTAATTGCCTGATATATAGACTAAGCACAATAAAACCCCAAATGTCCACTTTTAGATTTTAGCCAAATACTGCGAAAAATGGCATTCCAATACTTATTGCTTAAAGTACACATACTAAAGCCTTAAAAGATACAAACATTTATTGAATTTGTCCACCTTACTAAAATTAGTTACCAGTAGTGAATTGATTATTAATTGAGTAATGAATTCATCAACATTCGCTTTTACTCGGAGGTTGTTGTGGACATTGTTTACTCCACTTCCACCAACTTTAAGGAACTGTTCTGGTTCTCTGAAGAAGAGATATAACAGGTCAAAGTGCAAAAGAAAACATACCAGTTTATGTACATGTTGTAGCTATGCTAGAAATTAGAATTGCTTCAGGGGAGGAAGGCTGCCAATAACTCTTATATTGGACTACAAATCCTGTAGTGCCCCCCCCACCCAAATTATTTTCTTTTAGCAAAGTTAAATATATTAATGTACAGGTTCTGATATGTTATGTGATGTTATTAATGCTGTTACTAATGTTCCCAAAGCCTTTTTAGTGATTAGAATCCTTTAATACCTTACCATCAACTGATTTTTTAAAGGAAAATACTCTGTAAAACCCTAAATTATGGACTGTTCATGTTGTAATGTTAAGAACATTCTAATTATAGTAAAACGTTAAACTTTATTCCAACACACTATTTACAGGGATCAAATTTTCAGCGACTACTGTCGCCTTCATCAGGATAATTAATGACCAATCACTTCACAACGTGATCTCGCGAGAGTTACGGTTTACAAACACGTGACTTCACTCACACGAGACTGAAGTGATTGGTCATTAATTATCCTGATGAAGGCGACAGTGGTCGCTGAAAATTTGATCCCTGTAAATAGTGTGTTGGAATAAAGTTTAACGTTTTACTATGATTACTACCAACACAGATGAACTTTCATGATAACATTCTAATTAGAATATCCAGCTCCTTTTTTCTTAGTCTAGACACCATTACAGTGTTTGTAAATTCTTAATATCACTAGTACTGGTGAATAAATGTGTTTGGACAAGTCCCTGCAGTATCAGTCTTTTGAGTCTTGACCCATAGTGTCCCGTCCGTACCCCCCTTGTCCGTCCCTTGATGTGTTGCCATATTGTCTGCCTTCTTGGATTTTGACCTTCCCATTAGCATAAATTAATCAATTTTAGTTAATGAGAGTAATATTAACTCCTGTGATATATTACTAAAATGCAAGAAAAAATTGCAAGTTAACAATAACAACTAAAAACCACATCTATTGATAAGAAATCATTGAATTTTACAAAACATAAATGCAAACAAACCATTGCCAGGGTAACATGAAATATCATTGACAATTGTAATCACAATGAAATCGTTGTTAACAAACCTTTATGAAAAGCCTCCCAGTTTGGTGGTCCTAGCTTAATATATTTAAATTGTTCAAAAATTATACACGATGACATTTGGTGCTGGCATTCATATGTATCACTATAATATGGCGTATAATGCAGATTTTGGGTGGGGTGGGGGGTTTATTTCATGTTACGACCGAATTTTTATGCCAAATGTTTCTCAAATGACCTAGTGCATCACCCGTGAAGTGGGCGTGATCAGATTTCAAAATTTCAATTTTTTGCTAATTTATCACCCCCACTAGCATTGGCATAACCGCTGTCCTCTGAGACAGTGTGGCGTTAAATATACATTTATAACATGTTTTCATCATATCATATCATATCATATCATATCATATTATATCATATCATATCAATAAACACAAAATATAACGAACACAAGTTACTACTAGAAAGGCCGACATTTGCTTTGGAGCAAATTCAGCATGGCTTCACCACATTTCACTTTTCAGCGAACCGGTACGCAGCACTTTGTGGGTCACTTCGCACGACTTACATGCTACGTGACCCCAGGTAACCCGAAATGGAACACGTGTTCGATGGCCAACGGCAGATGGAACGGGCCATTCTTTAGATCGAACGTGGAACGGGTATGGGACTTTGGGCCCTTTTTTGGGTGAAAATAGCCATTAAAGTCCCCCAAATGAGTGATGGAAGTGGTGTATGCCAAAATGCCCCAAAAAACCTTCATAAATTTTTTTCAAAGGCATGTATCAAAAAAATGAAACCAGTCCATCTGGGTATTTGCCCACTCTACCTCCATGCCAAATTTCAAGTCATTTGGCTGAAAAATGGCTGAGTTGAATCCATTTAAAAAATGACAGGAGGAGGAAAGGAGAAACATGAGAGAACACAATATGTTTCACAAGACCACTTCGTGGTTTGGCGAAGCCATAAAAATATATCAATCACCAACCCTTACCTCAATTTTACTGTCCACCTGTGCTCCAGCCTTCAGGAGGAGTTCAGCAACACCAACATGTCCTCCTGAAGCTGCCATGTGAAGTGGCGTGTATCGGAGCTGTAGCAGCAGGAACAGAGAATGAGAGTTACATGAGACGAAAAGCCTGTTAACCGTACCACAATAAAGATGCATGACGTTCAACACTCAAACATGACCATTCATGTAGTGCGTACCAACCCTTACCTCACCCCTACTGTCCACCTGTGCTCCAGCCTTCAGGAGGAGTTCAGCAACACCAACATGTCCTCCTGAAGCTGCACGGTGAAGTGGCAAGTCTTTATTCTGTAACATCAGGAACAGACATGACATTATATAGTAGGAAAAGCCTGTCCCCATTGTTATAACACCTAATATGGATTACATCAAACACTCAAACATGTCCATCTCCCGTGGTAAGCAACAACCCTTACCCAGTGTCTACTGTCCACCGGTGCTCCATACTTCAGGAGGAGTTCAGCAACACCAACATGTCCTCCTGAAGCTGCACAGTGAAGTGGCGTGTTTTGAAGCTGTAACAGCAGGAACAGGGATGACATTATATGGCAATAAAAGCCTACTTCTGACCCCATTGTCATAATCAACACCAAATATGCGTGACGTCAAACAGTCAAACATGTCCATCACCTGTAGTAAGCATCAACCCTTACCGCATTCCTACTGTCCACCTGTGCTCCAGCCTTCAGGAGGAGTTCAGCAACACCAACATGTCCTCCTGAAGCTGCACGGTGAAGTGGCAAGTCTTTATTCTGTAACATCAGGAACAGACATGACATTATATAGTAGGAAAAGCCTGTCCCCATTGTTATAACACCTAATATGGATTACATCAAACACTCAAACATGTCCATCTCCCGTGGTAAGCAACAACCCTTACCCAGTGTCTACTGTCCACCGGTGCTCCATACTTCAGGAGGAGTTCAGCAACACCAACATGTCCTCCTGAAGCTGCACAGTGAAGTGGCAAGTCTTTATTCTGTAACATCAGGAACAGACATGACATTATATAGTAGGAAAAGCCTGTCCCCATTGTTATAACACCTAATATGGATTACATCAAACACTCAAACATGTCCATCACCTGTAGTAAGCATCAACCCTTACCGCATTCCTACTGTCCACCTGTGCTCCAGCCTTCAGGAGGAGTTCAGCAACACCATCATGTCCTCCTGAAGCTGCATTGTGAAGTGGCGTGTTTCCTTGCTGTTTCACAAGGAACAGAGATAGCATTACATTGGAAGAGACGCCCATTTTTGTAATTAACACGTTTTCAAATTATCATTTCACATGGGAAGGGAAGCCTGTCCCCGTTGACATTACCATCAAAGAGGTATATACCAGATTTTCAACACTTAAACATGTCCATCACCTGTAGTAAGCATCAACCCTTACCGCATTCCTAATGTCCACCCGTGCTCCAGCCTTCAGGAGGAGTTCAGCAACACCAACATGTCCTCCTGAAGCTGCACAGTGAAGTGGCAAGTCTTTATTCTGTAACATCAGGAACAGACATGACATTATATAGTAGGAAAAGCCTGTCCCCATTGTTATAACACCTGATATGGATTACATCAAACACTCAAACATGTCCATCTCCCGTGGTAAGCATAAACCCTTACCCGATCCCTACTGTCCACCTGTGCTCCCCGGCCCATTGTTATAATTAACATTGAATATTTGTGACATCAAACACTACAAGTACAATATGTCCATCACCTGTAGTAAGCACCAACCCTTACCCGACCCCTACTGTCCACCTGTGCTCCAGCCTTCAGGAGGAGTTCAGCAACACCAACATGTCCTCCTGAAGCTGCACAGTGAAGTGGTGACTCTGTATACTGTAACAGCAAAAGCAGAGATGACATGAGATGGTAAGTGAAGCATATTATCCCAATAAACACTAAATATACGTGACTTTCAACACTCCAATATGTCCATCACCTGTAGTAAGTATCAACCCTTACCCAATTCCTACTGTCCACCTGTGCTCCAGCCTTCAGGAGGAGTTCAGCAACACCAACATGTCCTCCTGAAGCTGCACAGTGAAGTGGCGTGTATTTAAACTGCAACAGCAGGAACAGAGATGGCATTACATAGTTAGAAAATTCTGTCCCTATTACCAAAATAAACATGACGAAACATTTCAGATGTTCGCCCAAACCTGTATATAAAGCTTGTATACGAATCCGGGGCCCGCGCAACGTTCCAGCGGGCTACCCAGCACGTCGGCAGAACTGCAAACTCCATAATGTGTTGTGCATAGCACTGAGAACGTTTCATATAAGGTTAAAATCCCGTCTGTAGTTCCAAATGTTGTGTCGGAAAAGATAACTTCTGCAACAGGCAAAATTCTCATATTGACCTATCCGACGAAAACCGTCAATAAAATGGCGCAGTAAATTTTGCCTACGTGCTCCCTACCCCAACTTGGCCTGTCATAAAACAGATTTGTGGTAAAAAGAAAGTGGTTCCTCCCTACTCACCCAGCCGCCGCGACAGTTGACATCCACTCCCTGCTGGAGCAGCTCCGTCACCTTCTCTTCATCTCCTCTATCAGCTGCATACCAGAGTCCCTGAAGAAAGCGGCATTCATCGTCATAATGCAGCAGTGATATATATTATATAGAGGTAGAAACAATGCAATACCATATAACTTGTTGTTTGAAGTTATCTTATGATTATAATTTTTACACTTCTAAGTATATCAAGTCACTGCTGCCATCATGGTAGCCTACACCATGTTTGCTTGGTATTGACTTACGTGCTTGTGGGGACTTTTCCCAGTCTTTCGTACAAAGGATCGCTGAAACAATGAAATGAACTCTCAAATAACTAGTCTCCAAGCAGATCCCTTTCGGTGACAAGACAGTATCCATTAGCCAGAGGAGTTTTGCCGGCCACCTTCGCTGGCTAATGGACACTCCTCTGGCTAATGGATACTGTCTTGTCACCGTATGATCTGCTTGGAGATTAAACTGACGGCTTCGTCAAGATTTGTACTTTGAGTTTGAACAGTCCCACAGCAAAATTATCAGGTACGATAACGTTATCAGGTAAATATTGAATGAAGCATCGGCAACGTGCAAAGTCCAAAGACGCTTTGGCACGTACGTTACAACACTATTGTTTGCCGATGTGCTCATATTTAGATAGGACATCGATTGAAATATCTTCATAGTTATCAAATTCAACACGGTATCATTACCTAATCAACCAACTGAAGATTCTTTGTGACAACTGACCAGCAATGCAAGATAAGCCACTGTTGGAATTCTACAACGTAACACCGAATGGACAAGTGGGCTTGGTGCTGACTCGCATATGTAGTGACTTTTGCCAGTCTTTCTTACATAGGAAAGGAAGCAACTGAATTTCACATCGCTGAAAAAATAAAATGGACTTTCTTAAGTGACGTCTTCTTCAATATATGTTCTTTGAACAATTTTGCAAATTATCAGGTGCGATACGGTTACCAGGTAAACATTGAATCACGCATCGGCAACCGACGTTCAAAGTCCACAGACGTCTACTCTGGGCCACGTATACATAATGTTGTAATAACACTATTGTTTGCTGATATGCTCATATTGTGGTACAACATTCATACGATATGAATAAGGTATCTGTATAGTTATAACATTTTCTCCACCGTACCTGTAACAATTAATTAACCAATCAACTACATTGTAATTAAGTTTTTTTTTACCAGTAAAAGTACAAGCCAAAACATTGTATTGGAATTCTACAACACAACACAAGGTAAGTAAGAGAGATCTACCTGTTCAAGATCCTCCTTAGATGTAGACATCTTGCTCGACTTGTACCTTTCTCACGAAAGTTTAGCGTCTTTGGGCTTGGCAGGTTCGTTGGTCGGCAACGGTTAGGTTAAGTTTCCGCCTACATTTAATTTTCCGCTAATTTGATCGATTGGTCGATATGGTCGCATAACACAGTATTTATGGGCGAATCCCGTGATCAAAAGTAGTCCGGGCACAAAGTAGTGCGGCACAGTACTTGAAAAAGCTGCCGAGATTCTTTCGTGCAGGGTAGCGAGGTGAAAACTATGCTGAATTGTATAGGAATACATTGAGTTTGAGACCGTATAATTTGAATTAGGATGTTTGTTCGGCCGGGGTCAATTCGCGTCTGGACCCTGATACGACGTAGTACTGTACGCCGACTGCAGTTCATTGACCCCCTCAACAAGCCGGTGTCAAGCCATATACATGATCCTGCCAAATACATGACTCTGACACTACATGTACTTGGGGGTTTCCAATATACCTGAGGCAAGGGCTGGGAGGGGTTTAGTCGTGATGTGGGAGTAAACCTAACCTAACCCCAATCGTAAGTCTAACCCTACCCCCGAACATTGATCCCAACCCTAACCCTAACCCTAACCCTAATACCAACCCTAACCCTAACGCTGGCCCTGAACACTTGACCTCTCACGTATGGGGCAGCTCAAGGATTTGGCTCAACACCGGCAAACATGTAGGGTCTGAGGGTCGTAGGGGTCGTAGGGTTCACCCTACATATTTTGTAGGGTGTACCCTCAACCCAAACATTGAATCATTTTAACTTGCTTGTGCACCCTACTATAAATTTGAAAGCATCGAGCCTTCTCACTTTGGTCTCTTTAGCTATAGGACAAAAACTGTGTACTGCTAGGATAATATTGACATGACTACGTAGTCTGGACTACTCCATTCTATGCTCCTACTATTGTACTTCGAAAGGTGCGAGTGGGGTATGGCTCTCCCTAAACACGGGACCTCCATTTAACGTCCTATCCGAGGGACGTCCCTAACCGAAGGTAGGTACTCATTTCCACCTGGGTGAAGTGAGGAAAGTTGCCAAGGAGTTAGCTATGTATGATTCAGACAAATTGAACTTTAGTAACTGACGTAAGCGGGCGCCCCCTGGCACATGAGATGGTAACTTCAGCCGATGATGATGCCTGGCAGAGAACTATCTGTAGGAAAGAAAAAATGTTGTAACCTATATATTGACGCAATATATATATTTGTTCATTTTAGAAAATATCCTTATCGGCATATATGTTATAGAGAAACTTTATATTTTAATGTCAGCGTTTAAATCATCATTAAACGACACCATTGGCATATTCCTATACATAATTAGTTCAACACAAACACATAAAAAAAGACGAATTTCCAGTAGTGGAAAGTGTTACTAATTTGTGACTCCTACTCCTAATTTTGAAAACCATGTGCAATACCAGACCGCCGCGGGTCAGTGTGGCCACATTATCATCACATCTCTCCTCTCACGACAGACGAACTTTCCGCGACTTTCCAATAAACATGACTCTATTTCCCCGCCGCTGCAGCCCTGATCCTCCCGCTGGGTCCGACCCGTGTGAGGATCGATGTGTTACTATTCCTGCGGCGTCCCGTATTGACCCGTCTGTGCGGAAAGAGTCGGACTCAAGCTGACGGTGTAATAGTTTATTGCTAATTCGTGCGCGAACGCGTCGAACCCCGTGTTCTATTTCGAACACCACGTCGAACCCCCTGTTCTATTTCGAACACGTCGATCGAACCCCCTGTTTTAGTTCGAACACTTCGCGTCCCCTGTCCTATTTCGAACGTTTCACCCCCTGGTCTATTTCGACCACCCATCGAACTTAGTGTTCTATTTCGAACACTCGTCGAACACCCTGTTCTATTTCGAACACTCGTCGAATCCCCTGTCCTATTCCTCCCCGCTCTTCCCCCTCTGGTTTAGACCCGGCCTAATATCTCATAATAGAACAAGAAATGCCCCTACTGCCCTCCTTACTAATATGTCTTCCATATTTCTGTTGTTACGGCTTTAAAGTCACATAAATACGACAGGCGGCACATTTTATTCCCCGCAATTTTCTCAGGAAAGACATAAAGACCCGCCAAATTAGACACTATGTCTTGTGTAATGTGTAGCCTGTATTCCCAGGCGGTCCTGCTTAACGTTAGCGCGTCTGTTGTACTTATAATCAATGTTCTTTTTTTATTATTATTCCAACATTTCATGACTAGACACGGTGACGGCACATTCAAGTTAAATCAACTTATTTTATGTCGCAACCAACACAGAGTACAAATACATGACAGCACAATACTCAATTTCACTTGAGTTAACTGATGAAGTTCGTGTAAAGTGCCTTTCCAAAGGGCACAAGATCGGTGGTATGTCAGGACTCGAACCCGGGACCTCTTGGTTCGGTTCCGAGTCGAGACGTTACGCCACACGACCCCAATCAATGTTTCTGTGACTGTGTGGGTAAGTAGTATTAAATATTAGTCACAAATTCCGGACTTTTAACAATCTTATCAACAATACATAAATGACCCCCCCCCCGTTTAACCCACAGCAATGGAACAGTCCGCGAGATCGATCTGTACCATGAATGCCTGCCATGACCCCGTGTTGATCGGCAGTGAACCGTCCCCGATAAGCCATGACCCTACATTGGTCACCAACGAACCGTCCCGAGCTGAGTATTAGCTCACTTCGATATCGGGTATGACAGAACCTGGCGGAAAACCGGCGACTGCCTCTACCAGTAGCTTAGTTGTACAGGATACGCGGAACACATTGGTGAATACAAACGGTGAGTCCTTATTGATACATATGTCATTATGTGTGTTGAGGGTGCCTGGGAATGTCGTTTTTGCTTGCTGGCAGTCCATATGTACTGTCAATGGTCTTGAAGCAAAAGACATACAATATATATGGTATGTCGATTGCTGCTACCAGTAGGTTAGTTGTACATGATACACGGAACATATTGGTACATACAAATGGTAAGTCCTTATTCATGTATATGTACGTTATGGGTGCCTGGACTATACAGTCGACCTGTCACTGGTATTAAGCGAAAGACATATGTTATATACATACTGCATGTACAGGATAGTCAGAATAGTGGCCACTTCTGCGTAAGGACCGTCTGACTACCGCAGCCACTTTAATTTAGTGGCCTCTTAAATTAGTTTTGACCCAAGCGTTAAAAATCTTGTCAAGAGCAGACACCTGTCTAGTGTGACCATTTTCTCCCAGATGAGTGTACTTGAGTGGTGACGTTTTTTACTGTTCTCGTGTGTAGGTTTTTTTCCCCGAACATACCGTTTTGTACGACAGTGCATGGCCATGGATATATAGGAACTGTACCTCTATGTAATTTGTAATACACTGCAGCCAACCATTATCATAAAAGCCCTTAACACAAAGAAAGAAATACCATGGCCAATATCTATATACATTAGGACCTGTTAGGGGCTCATTGTACCAGGCTCATTCTGTTAGGCTCATCGTACCAGGGAGATTATCTAGTTTTTACAAGTGTAATTGATGAATTGTGAAACAGGACTTAAACTGAGAAGGGAATTGACAGTATAGATGAAATCCATCAATAATCTAAACGGCCCCAATAGCATGAAGACATTATCCTTAGATGATAAGAAACGCAATGTCATGTCTAAAGTATGATATAGTATGGGATGAACCTCAACATGTCGGAGGGATATAAGGAGGAAAGTGGCTATAAATTTTTAGATAACCTGCAATACGCGGGTCTTCGTAGTCTCCACCAGACGCTTTTGCAGGTTGAATAAATAGTAGATATCAACCAGAAAGAGTGTAACTGGCCAGGGGAGTTAGCTGGCCATAGAGGGTCCAGTTTGCCTGCATACAGAATCGGATCCTCTATAGCCGTCCAACTCCCCTGGCCAGGTAGATTATTTTCAAGCCGATTTCTACTATTTATTCAGCCTGCAAAAGAAGCTGGTGGTAACAAGGTTCTTTAGCCCTTACTGCCCAGCTAAATACGGACATTACAAGTTCGCCTGTATTCTCCACCAGACTCTTTTGTAGACTGAATAATAGTAGAAATCTATAAGCTATAGAGGGTACTGTATGCAGGCAACTTGGACCCTCTATGGCCAAGGGCCCAGGTAAGGTAAGGTAATGGCCAGCTTACTTCCCTGACCAGCTTTTTAGGCGGACATGTAAAGAGTCTGGTGGAGACCATGTTCTTCAGCCGTTGCCGCCAAGCTAAATATGGCCATTACCGGTTCGCCCCTGGTCTAGAGTGATAGATCCTCAAGTCATCCCGTACCGGCCGCACGCCCACTCTAACGGTGATGGCTTCCTCATGCAGGTTAACGTGTTAAATTCTTTATCATGGTAATCTAAATGTACAGTAATACGTCTTGTTGTGTCTATGCCGTTTTGAGGAAATGGCGCATTAATAACCTGCTGTCCCTACTGTCTGGTGTATCCAGAACCATGATTTAACCAAAACTACGCCCGGACACGGTTCTGGATAGTCCACGCGTATCCAGAATCGTGCCTGGAGTAAATCTACTCTTCTTGGATACGCGGAGACTATCCAGAACCGTGCCTATATAATCCTAACCCTAACCCATTCAGTCATAGAACTAGATAGGCACGGTTCTAGATGCAATAGGCCCCAAACAGGCTGTAAGCTATGGGACCACTTTAAAGTTGGTTCAGGCATAAACTATAGGCCTGACTATAGATATAGCTATAGGTTATTATCAACGGTACAATAACATAGGTTTTAGTCTTATAAGGCAGCAGGGAGTACGTGCTTTTATGACTGTCTGTAATGGCTTCTTTACTGTGTTTTACGGTGCTGGTTTCCTTGGTTTCCTAAGTCGCACTACAGATATATATTGTATCTCATCTAAGTGGTTCAGTTCGAACACACAAGGCTTACGGTGCCCGGGTAGCCAAGGGGGTATTATTAAGAGCTGAAGTCATATAGTTGAGATGGTATTT